TAGCCTGTGTGACTCCACAATGTCTGAATTCCAGGAGAATTTTTTTTTTAAATCATATGTAATCCATATTACCTTGAATTATCTTCCCTGGCTATGAACAGCTGCAAAAGGAAGTGTTATATGATGTTGACATGATTGTTTTGATCTCTAAAACTGTGAGGAAAAAATGTTTTCATGCATAGTAGGATTTGAGGTCTAATTATTAAGATAAAATTGAGCAGTCTCCCTGACAGTATTTTTTTATCTGTGTCAAGTCTTCTGAGGATAGAAATGAGAAATTTGCTTTGGGGTGCTCGCTCCATGCTGCCACCCTTAAATAACTGCTTATTTTTGCTCCGTCCTACAGAATGAGACCTGGGCAAGGGGTTGTGAGGAGCAGAGTGCCTGGGACAAAGCTACTCCTTCTTAATGAGGCGTAATAATAGGTACATTCTCCAGGCCACTTGATCGCACACAGAAATAGAATAAATAAAAGGGCTTTCAGGTTGTGCTGAGCAGAATATTAGTTCCAGCTGAGAAAATCACTTCACACATTTTTCACGTACTTAATGTTATCTCTGAAAAGCACCATTGCCAGAGTCATGGGGACAGCTCCTGCCCATGCTCTAAGGGCAATATCAGAGGTAGGTTCAGTTCACCTTTTGAGCTTTCCTTCCATCTGGTTCTGAAGAGGGTGGCCAGCTGCACAAAGCAGAATTGATGCCATTTGCATCAGTTGAAATATGGGAGGTGCTGGAGGAGGGACTGCTATGCTCCAGCGCTCACTGGTGTCTCTACCTTAAAGCTCAGCTGAGGCTGTGCCTTTCTTTAAAGTGGGTGCATGGAGGGAGGAGGGTAGAGAGATCCACTTTCGGGGTCTGTGGGGGTGGAGGTCAATGCAACCCACTAGGGTCTCTATGACTCATATTGTGTGTATCAAAGTATTTCTATCCAGTCTACTTCCCAAACTAAGATGTTTACATGGAAAAGCTCTTGACATGAGTATAGAAACAGTAAATGTTTTATTACCTGTATCTTTACTAGAATTTTTTTTTTTTAATACACATATTGAAACCAAACTCATAAACTCGAGATTAAGTGGTAAAGCACAGTGGTAGAGGAGAGTTGGGTTGGAAATGTAGGTCGAGGTAAGCTTTTTCAGCCTGAGAGGAAAACTAGGTCTGAGCTTCCCAGCAGTTTAAGCAAAGAGGGAAATGGAACGTTAGTAAGAACACAAATTCATCAGGAAGGATGGCTTACTTTTTCTCTTGGCTTTGCAGGGACTGGTTGCTCAAAGGGACACCATTGAGAGCAGTCGAGGGTTTGAGCTTTGGAGTCTGATTTGGTCTCAGTCCTACTTCTCTCTATTCAGATTTTAGATATAAAATGGGAAAAACAGGACCTTGGAGGGTTGTCATGACTATGTATATGTTCTGGGTACCTAGTGCCACTCTGACAGGACTATACCGCAATGGGATGGCTTTAACAAACAAGTTTATTCTTACACTTTTGGGAGGCTAGAAGTCCAAGTTCCAAGTGCCAGGTTCTAGAGGCTGGCCGAAAGCCCCTCAACCTTGGGCTTTAGCTCTGCCTCCTGCTCCTGGCCCACTGAAGCTAGAGGCTTTTCTTCACTCAGACAGCTGCTGGCTGCTGAGACTGACAAGCCCAAGGTTGACAAAAAGGCACAGTCCCGATATTACCAAATCACACGACAGGCCATTAATTTAAGGCCACTGAAAGTCCCAAGGTCGGCAGAGCATGGCAGGCTGCTGAACAACAACTTGGCTACGTGCAGGGTTCAGGTGTGCCATGAGCTGGAGACCATTCCCAAAGCTGCTGCAGACCACATCCCTAAAGCAGCTACTCGGCTGCTTATGGTAGATCCCACCATGGAGCTGATTACCAGTCTCATCATGGGTAATAACTACCACCAGCTGCCCAGCCACTCAACCAGGTCCAGCCAAGTTGACACACAACCTTAACTACCAGTATCCAGTATGAGCTCTGATCAGGATCTTGGTTCAATGCCTGGCACCTAGTCAGCTCTCAAATACTAGGTTCTGCTGCTGCTGCTGCTGTTATGTTTTCCCCACTCTCTCTCCTGAGTGTTACCACTGCTGCCTCACTGTTCTTCCTGCCTTACTTCTGCCTTCTCCAATTTTTCCTCCATGTTCTGCCTGCTAAGAAGTTCTGGGTTGTTTCCATTTGGTTGCAAAATGTTCCCTCAGCCTAGGAGTCCTGACATAATTTCCCTCCCCTTCTCTTTTTGCATTACTTCTTAAAAAATACAAAAGACATTGAGGGTGGTAGGCTCGGAATTAGCACAACTCTGTCATCTGCATCCCTGGGCAAATTTTACCTGGTTACTCCCCTTTAGAGCTCTAGTTTCCACATCTGGGGCTGGAAAATGCCTGTACCTTTTACATAGGACTGCTTGAAGATTAAGATAAACTACTTAAGGTCAAGGCCCAGAAGCACCTTCAGGTTCCATAAATAAACCAAAAAACAATTGCTATCAAGTCACCTCCAACTCATGATGACCATGTGTGTCAGAGTATAACTGTGCTCCATAGGGTTGTCAGGGGCTTTTTTTTTTTTTTTTTTTTTTTTTTTTGGACGTAGATTGCCAAGCCTTTCTTCCAAGGTAGTTCTGGGTAGACTTGACCTTCCAACCTTTTGGTTAGCCTCTGAGCATATTTATTGTTTGTGCCATCTAGGGACTCCAATTTATTCCTATTTGTAGGCAAAGATATAGCCTCTGACTCTTGCTGGAGATTTATCTACCAGAACCAGTATCAAATGCTTTTTTCTTTATTTCATCTGTCTCCCAACAAGAACAAGATTAGCTGCTTCAGTCTTCCTGAGACCAGAGTGTATAACAGGCACTCAGTAAATATGTGTTAATTAACGTGATTACATTGGTCACACCACCACAGTCATGTTGTCAAGTCTTTCCCCCACTTTCTGACCCTGGAGAGTGCACTATTCACACTGGTGCTTAATAAATGCACTAAGGGGAGTGTGGGAAGGGTTTGAGTGTGGGATTTCAGAGGAAGCCTGGGAAAGAAGCTTCCAGAGCAGAGCTAACTTGATTAAGACAGTTCTGAGAGAAGTAACTTTCCATAATGTGGTTTTTTCCCTTTGAGGAAGGAGAAGAACATGAAGACCACTCTCCAGCCTCAGACACATGCTCTTATTAAACGCAGGCTTTGTTCTCAGCAATTTAGCATTTGCCCCTCTGGGGTACTGGCTGGGGTTCCTGTTTTCATTCAAGATACTGCAAACTGGTCCAGTGTTCTCTTTGCATCACTGAAAGTCGTTTCAGAGTTGAGCTGCATTTGGACCATGAAGATGTTTGATCTTGAGTTTAAATTTTCATTTGTGAGGCCCATGTTTTGACTTTGAGGGTTCTTTTCAAGGTTAATAGTTTGGCAATTCTAGAAAGAACTCTCTCTCCCTCTCCATCTCCCCACCTCCATCACCCTATATTCCCTCGCTGTTGCTCCCATCTTTCTGTCTCTCCTTCTCTCCCTTTCCCCTTTTTCTCTCCCATCCTTTTCCTTCCTTTTTCCTGCCCTTTGGAGTCTTACAGTTTTATTGATTATTTCATATAACTTAAAAAAATTCATTTCCTAAATTATTCTTTAGAACTGTGACTCAGAATCTCTAAACCTGTGTGTGTTGTGTGTGGCATTGTGTGGGGTGTGTGTACCATGTGTGTAGTGTGTGTGGCTTGTTTGCCACATGTGCTGTGTGTATGGTGTGTGTGGCTTGTGTGCCACATGTGTAATATGTGTGCTGTGTGTGGCATGTGTGACTTCTGTATCACATGTGCTATGTGTGTGTAGATGTGTACCATAAGTACTATGTGTGTACCATGTGTGTGCTGTGTGTGGCTTGTGTACCACATGTGCTGTGTGTGTGACATATGTGGCTTGTGTACCACGTGTGGTATGTATGAGTCATATGTGTGGCTTGTGTACCACATGTGCTATGTGTGTGCCATGTGTGCAGCTTATATACCACATTGCTGTGGGTGTGCCGTGGGTGTGTCATATGTGGCTGGTGTACCACATGTGCTGTGTATGTGGCATATGTGGCTTGTGTACCACATGTGCTGTGTGTGAGTCATGTGTGCGGCTTGTGTACCACATGTGCTGTACGGGTGCCATGTGTGCGGCTTATTTACCACATTGCTGTGGGTGTGCCGTGTGTGTCGCATGTGTGGCTTATGTACCATGTGCTGTGTGTGTGGCTTGTGTGCCACATGTACTATGTGCCTGTCGTGTGTGGTGTGTGTGGCTTGGGTACCACGTGCTAAAGGTACTGTGTGTGTAGCATGTGTATGGCTTGGGTACAACATGTGCTATGGATATGCCGTGTGTGTGCTGTATGCGGCTTGCATACCACATGTACTGTGAGTGTGTGGTGTGTATGAACATGTGCATTCATACTTCAGACAGTTTTGACTGCATTTTTTTCTTTGACAAAAACAGAGCTCTCTAGAGTAGATTCAGACAGACCAGAGCCTGAGCCTGGCTGCGTCACCGACTCTGGGACCTCCTGCAGCACCAGCACTGTTGTATGACAAATCATTTCTCCCTTAGTGCTTCATTTCTCCATCTGTGAAGTGGGCAGAATGACAGCACCTTCCTCCCATGGTGGTGGTCAGGACTCAGTCAACCAGACGATGTTGAGCCCTCAGCCCCAGCAACTCAGTGATTTGTAGGCTTTCTGTAAAAAGTTGCCACTGAGTTCCATTACTTAATAATCTAAAGCCAGTTTGGCCGAGGTTCTTTGAGCTGTAGTTGTTCACAGCAGCAGTGTCCTCTCAACTAGATGTTCTGTCAAGTCAGTTATGGTTTGCAGAAACCCCATTGTAGGACCTGCCGGATGTTTCAGGCCCTCACCTTGGCCTGACTTCCATGTAATTCTTAGGACTGGCCTCTAGGCTGTATGAAAAGGAAAGCAGACCTTGGGTTTTCCAGATCTCATCCGTGGACTTTTCTTTTGCTTTGCAGCTGATGCTTTCTTCAAAGCCGCTATAAGCCTCATTCCTGAAGTTCCAAAGATGATTAATGTCGACGGAAAGATGCGCCCATCAGAGTCATTTCTTCTGGAATTCCTCTGCAATTTCTTTTCTACTCTATTAATAGTTCCGGTATGTTACCCTAGAAGAGCCCATAGATGATGCCTTTCATTGATCTGCCATATGTATTCTAAGCTGCCTAATATATGTGTGTTGGTTTTCTGGTCAGATATTTGAATGGCTTTGTGTATTTTCTGTTCATATTGTGCCTGAATGTACTACTTCTGATGCTGTATTCTGCAGAGGGAGCGTAGCTTAGAAGTTAAGAGCATAGACCTTGGGGTCAGGTGCCACTGAGGGAGAATCCCAGCTTGGCCACCTGCAGCACTGTTGTTGTTGTTGTTATTGTTAGGTGCCATCATGTTGGCTTCAACTCATAATGACCCTGTGTACGACGGAATGAAACACTGCCCAGTCCTGCACCATCCCCACAGTCCTTGGTATACCCGAGCCCGTAGTTGCAGCCACTATGTCATTCCATCTCATTGAGCGACTTCCCCTTTTTCACTGACCTCCCACTTTACCAAGCATGATATCCTTCTCCAGGGAATGGTCCCTTCTGACTACATGACCAAAGTAGGTGAGATGAAGCCTGGCTGTTCCTGCTTCCAAGGATCATTCTGGCTACACTTCTTCCAGGACAGATCTGTTAGTTCTTCTGGCAGTCCATGATACTTTCGGTACTCTTCACCAACACCACAACTCAAAAGCATCAGTTCTTCTTAGGTCTTCCTTACTCATTCTCAAGCTTTCACATGCATATGAAGCAACTGAAAATACCATGCCATGGGTCAAGCGCACCTTTGCCTGCAAAGTGATGTCTTTGCTCTTCAGCACTTTAAATAGATATTTTGCAGCAGATTTGCCCAGTGCAATATGTCGTCTGATTTCTTGACTGCTGCTTCCATTGGTGTTGATTGTGGAACCAAGTAATATGACACCTTTAACAACTTTAGTCTTTTCTCCATTTATCATGATGCTGCTTATTGGTCCAGTTGTGAGGATTTTTGTTTTCTTTATGTTGAGGTATAATCCATACTGCAGACTGTAGTCTTTAATCTTCATCAGTAGGTGCTTCAAGTCATCCTCACTTTCAGTAAGTAAAGTTGTGTCATCTACATACTGCAGGTTGTTAATGAATCTTCATCTAATCCTGATGCTGCATTTTTCTTCATATTGTCCAGCCTCTCAGATTATTTACTCAGTGTACAGATTGAATAAATGTGGTGAAAGAATACAACCCTGACACACTCTCTTCCTGATTTTAAACCATGCAGTATCACCTTGTTCTTTTTGAACAATAGCTTCCTGGTCCATGTACGGGTTCCTCATGAGCACAATTAAGTACTCTGGAATTCCCATTCTTTTTGATGTTATCCTTAATTTATTATGATCCACACAGTCAAATGTTTTTGCATAGTCAATAAAACACAAGTAAATATCGTTCTGATATTCTTTGCTTTCAGCCAAGATCCATCTGACATCAGCAGTGATATTCCTTGTTCCACATCCTTTTCTGAATCCAGCTTGCATTTCTGGAAGTTCCATGTCAATATACTGCTGTACCCATTTTTGAATTATCTTCAGCAGGATTTTACTTGTGTGTGATTGATTGTTCAATAATTTTCACATTCTATTTGATCACCTTTCTTTGGAACGGGTACAAATAGGGATCTCTTCCAGTCAGTTGGCCAGATGGCTGTCTTTCAGATTCCTGGCATAGATGAGTAAGTACCTCCAGGGTGGCATCTATTTGTTGAAACATATCAATGGATATTCTGTCAATTCCTGGAACCCTGTTTTTCGTCAGTTCATTATGGATAGTCGATAAGACTGTGTGACCACATGACGATGAAAAACATTTGGAATTAGGTGCCTGCATTTAAAAATTGGTAGCCAGTTGTTGTGGAGTCAGTTCCTACTCTTGGTAACCCCATGTGTGTCAGAGTAGAACTATGCTCCGTAGGGTTTTCAGTAGCTAAGTTTTCTGAAGTAGATCACCAGGTGTTCTTCCTAGGTGCCTCAGGGTAGACTAGAATCTTCAGCCTTTCAATTAGCAACAGAAAACAAAATTTCTAGCTTTTCTTGAAAAATCAGGTCTGGCACCTGGGGCCACTTGGCCACAGCTGCTTCTTGAGCTACTTCCTATGGATGGGCTTGTGCACTCGCTAGTTCCCACGTCTTCCCTTGTGGCAAGGGCCAGCCCCAGGCAAGACATCAGGTGCTAAGCTTCACTCATTCAGTTATTCCACAGGTTTGTGTTGATCTGGGAATTCAAGAGAGACATGTCTTCCCACTTCCCAACTCATTTTCTGGCTGGAGGGAGACAGATTAAGCAAATAAATAAACATGTAATTGAATTACAGGGAAGTCTGAGAGGATTCGAACTGAGGGAGGGCTCATTCCCCAAGAAAGGAACTGAGGTGCAAAGGAGGAATAGTGGTTACCTCAGGGCAGAGGAGGGAAGGACAGGGAGTATCTGGTCAGAGGGAACAACATGGGTGAAAGCCTCAAGGTAGGAAGGAACACTTGAAGGACTGGAAGAGAGCAGCTATGACTACAGCATGGGGAAGGTGAGAGGAAGGACACAGACAGTGAGGAGTGGTTCCTGCAGAGGGGAGCAGTGGTGATCGGCAGCAAAAGCCTTCCTTCCCCGCTGAGCTTTGAGTCCCCTTGTCCACCCTGCTCTCCCACCACTCCTTCAGGCCCCTTCTTCCTCCCTGCCATCCCACCTGTGTTTCTGCTCCTGTCCTAAAGGGCTTTATGATTTACTTAAACAGTGCTTAGATACCTTCACAATGAGCCAGCCACTCTGCTTAAAAAAAAAAAAAAAAAAAATGAAACCAAATGCCATTGAGTCCATTCCAACTCTTAGTGGCCCTATAGAATAGAGTAGAACTGCCCCCATAGTTTCCAAAGCTGTAATCTTTACAGAAGCAGACTGCTTCATCTTTGTCCCATGGAGGAGCTGATGTATACAAACTACCATCCTTTCAGTTAGCAGCTGAGCACTTAATATCTGTGCCAAGCAGTTTGCATATACTCACTCAAAAGAAGCCTGTTATTACCTGCATTTCACAGATGTGGAAACTGAGATACAGAAAGGGGAGTAACTTGCCTAGGGTCACCAGCTAGTAAGTGGCCAGGCCAGGATCAAGAGCCAGGATGTCTGTCTGCTCAGCTGCTGTGTTCACTGCTTCTCTTATCATCTCTCTGGGAAGTTAGTTGCTACTAACTGCTGTTTCATTGGTGACTTCCTGAAGGCAAGAGATGCAAAGAAATGTTGCTAATGATGGACGCCAAGTCCTCTTTAGGCAGTGGGGGAGAGGTTTGAGTCCCCTATAGGTCCCCTTGGGAGAACCGGAGAAGTGGTTTTGCTCTGCCCTCTGGAAGGCAGCCTGGCCGGGGCACTGGGGAGAACCATTTCCTCTTAGAATGCCGGAATCCAGGACCATTTTTTTCCTTCTTTTTAAAAATTCGGTGCCTCTCCTGCTTCAATTGTAAGTATTGAGTCATCAAAGTGCAATTTTGCTTTCCAATTTTACAACTACTGAAGCATGGATACCATGTAGAAATTTTTTTCCTGTATGCAAGTTTGGAAATAATCTCTCACCTCTTTTGTTGTGACCAAAAGTTCCTGGCAATGGCTCACTGTCAACCTTTACATCTTCTCTGTTGCCCTTTTCAACTTTGTGTGAAGGTGTGTTGAATAGATTCTCATGTATGTTGAAATTAAGTTACTGGAACATTCTGTTTATTATCTATTTTCAAGGCAGATCCTTAAATAAATTATATTTTTGAATATCCACATGGCAGAATGAAATAACCTGGTTAGAAATAGATGTTAGCAAAGAAAGGCAGTAGTGTGTTACCAGCTAAGACTGCCTCTAGATGGAAGGCAGATCATGCTGGGCAATTTTGATGCATTTTGTTTGAGACATTCCAACTTTGAGCATCACATTTCTTCTCTCTTGCCCTGATACCGTAATAGCAGCTTTTGTCAGTGTTAATGGCTTATACAAAATGTCTCACACCACTCCACCATCATCCACCTCCATTGAAACTATCACTGCTATAGATACACACGTTCACATTGAATTGAAAACCAAAATGCTTTGCTGTAAAGTCATTTTGAACGCATGGCGACCTTGTGTGTGTTAGAGTAGAACTATACTGCACAGGGTTTTCAGTGGCTGTGAACTTTGGGAAGTGGATCATCAAGCCTTTCTTTCAAGGTGCCTCTGACTGGACCACCAGCCTTTCGGGTAGTAGCTGCTGTGTGCTTAACTGTTCACCCCACCAGGGACTCCTGTGTGGGATTCGGTTGCCACTGATTCCCACCATCTCGGTTAGAGCATTTCTCATACTCCGTAGCACTTTGTTTCTCCATTTTGAGAGTTGAATGTATGAACACCTTTCCCCCATCAGCAAGCCCATAATGTCAAAGACGAGCCTACAGAGGCAGTATAAATGTGGCCTTCGTACTTAGGAATCTACATTCTGGAGCCAGACTGCCCGGGTTTGAATCCTGGGTCTCTCATGTACAGTGGTGTGATTTTGAGCCACTTCACTTCCCTGTGGCTCATTTCCCACACCTCTGAAATGGAGATCATAATTGTTACCTTCCTGGAACACAGTAGATCTGTGATGGCTAGTTAGCTACATAAATGTTAGCTATTGCTGTTTGTTTTTGACCTGCCTCAGTGTCTGGCCCATAGAAAGTACTGGAAAAAAAATGTAGTCCATTCAACAGTATTTACCGAATGCCTGCCTTGTGTCCAGCACTGTCTTTGGAGCTGGGGACAAGGCTGGCTAGTACCTCATTGGAGGGCACCATGAACAGAATACAGATATCTCCCACTTTTCCAAAGTTCACTTTATGTCACTTAGGTTTTTATGAAATACTTATGTTACTACCTGTTTTCCCTAACCGAAAGAAATCCAAAGAGGATTTCCACTTTTATGAAACAGGTGTAAAGCAAAACTAGCGTTGCGTATTTGTTTTGCAGCAAGTGTACAGAGACAGTGCGTATCCAAAGCGGCAAGGGTTGGCGGTGCCAAGCTCCTTCCCTGGGAAGTACACTCAGCATCTCAGCATCAAGCCACCAGGCTTGGAATGAACTGTGTCTGTGAACACTATATGTTAGTGTTATTTTAGCTTTTATTTGTTATCTTGTGTGGTTTGGTAGGTTATTTTTTGGGTTCTAGAAAGATTAAAAAATTTTCCCATATGAATCAATGGTAATTATTTCTTCGCATTGTGCTATTTTGGCTTACGAAAGATTTCACAGCAGTGATTACTTTCAGATAGCAGGGAAAACATGTGGCACGGGCTGGGCCAGCCTGGCCAGAGCTACGTTGGTGACGTGATCAATGAGGTCCTCTGGAGGTCATAGGCTAGTCTGACGGGAGGGAAGCAGATAAATCTGTTGGGTATTATAGTGAATAAGATAATTTCTGACGGTGAGAAGTACTCTGAAGAGAATAAGGTGATGCTTTGTGACAAAGAGAAACGAGGAGGGAGGCAGTGCTCTGGATCATGCTGTCAGGAGGGCCTGACTGAGGGGGCAGCATTTCCGTTGACATCTGGAGGCGGCTCTCCAGGGCCCTGCCTGGGCAAGCCCAAGGACAAAGAAGCCAGGCAGAGGCAACAGTAAGGCTCTGAGGCCAGCCATCTTCAGCTCGTGTGCTGAGTTTCCTCGGGCCCCACTGGTTATGTCTCCTGTCCTTCCACCTCTGGATGGCATCACCTGGGTATCCTTCCTTCTGGCTGTTACTTAGCTCAGCTGAGGAGAGGTGCTGATGGCAGATTAGAGGGCAGGAGGAGAGAGAGGCTGGGGTATTCTTTACTCCCACTCCTACTGGCACTGGTTTGGCAATAGCTTTGTTCCTCTACCCAAGGCCACAGCTCAGGCCAGGTGGCCTCCTGCACTGCAAGTCTTGCCAGATTCCCGTAACACTGCTCCCTACACCTTGTCTGCCTCGCCGTTCTTTGTTAGTTCCCTTCCCTGTGCCCATGTCTTTATAAATATCCTTCATCACATGTCCCTTAGTTTTTGAGTACATCACCTACATCCTGCCAGGGCCCTACCATGCTGCAGGTCCCAGGAACAACAAAGAGGTAACTAGAGTAAGAGGTGTGGGGAATGACATGAGATGGGGTCTAAAATTGGTGGGGGCAGGCAGATCCCACGGAGCCCTGTGGGTCAGGATAAGGAGTGGGACATTTCTTCCAAGTGGGAAGAGAAGTCTAGAGAGTTTTAAGCAGGGGAGTCACATCATTGTGTGTACCTTTATGGAACTGATCAGGGACTGCTCACCTTTTTTGCATTCTAACACTGTTTTTTGTTGTTGTTTTTTTGTCTGAAGATTCAGTGTAGTGTCTAAGAAACACTGCTATGAACAGTGTTAATGTCTCGGATTTTCCTCTCTCAATAGAGTCCTCAGTTTGACTGTGAATGTTGTTGAACGTTCTCTTGACTGAAGAGCAAGGCTCTATTTAAAATCACTGCCTTCAGTGATGACAGTGGTAATTTGGAGGCTTACCCAGTGTAGGTGGCTTCTGCCATCCCATCTGCTGTGAGACCCACAATTTTGCTTTTACAGTTGGAGGAATAGAACTTACTTTTATTTTACCACTATGTGGTATAAAAAAAATATTGTAATTTTTAGAAACAGGCCATTAAGTTGGCAGGTAGCTCTGCTTTCCCGTCCTTTAAACTCCACAAGGAAGGCTCCCAAACTCTCTGCCCTGATGGGCTGGAGCATGTTTTGACTTTCTTCTCTCTGTTGTTTAACCAGGCTCATGAGTGGGCCTTTCCTTGGTAAAGTCACTGGCACTCTAATTTCTTTACAGCTGCTAAAGGGAGGGGCCTGGGTTTCTGGGTTGTTTTCTTTCTTGCTGCACATTTAGGATTCTGTATCCTTGTTTGCTTCCCCATTAGGACCATCCTGAACACGGGGTCCTGTTTCTTGTTCGAGAGCTTCTCAACGTGATCCAGGACTATACCTGGGAAGATAGTAGTGATGATAAAATCCGCATCTACACCTGCGTCTTGCATCTCCTCTCTGCCATGAGCCAGGAGACCTATCTCTACCACATAGACAAAGGTATCCACATTTCCCCTTCCATACTGTGTGCTTGAATTTCATGAAAATCTAAGGGAATGTTTGCAGCTTCTGTTATTTATTTAATTGCCTCTGTGTGTTGCTGACAACCTGGGGGTTACATATTTGTCTGCTAACTGAAAGGTTGACAGTTCAAGTCCACCCAGAGGCACATTGGAAGAAAAACCTGGCAGTCTACTTCCAAAAAATCAGCCACAGAAAACCCTGTGGAGCGCAGTACTCTGATCCACCTGGGGTCGTAATCTACTCCCCAGCAGCTGGTAGTGGTGGGTTAATTATGGGCTTCTATTTCAGAGACTCTCTAATCTGCCTGGTTATCAGAACCATCTGGGCAGATTTTAAAACTACATATTCCTGAGTCCCGTCCGGTACCTCCTAAATGAGCATCAGAGGAAGAGGTCTGAGGATTTGTATGTTTAATAACCCTCCCAGATCATTTTTATATTCAAATTTAGAGAAGTGTCTTTTGGATCAGAGGTCTCTTGGCTACAGAATAACCCAGAAAGATGGTTAAATATATGCGTTCTTGAGCTTCTTCTCAGGCCACATCCTCATGTGGGGCCCTGGCATGTGGGTTGTTAATCAGGTCTTTAGGTGATGCCAAGGCAGCTAGCCTTGAGTTCAGATATCCAGGAAGAGGACATTGGCCTTGTTCGCCTCATGCTATTGGCCAGTTTGAACTTACTAGTATGAGTCCAGGACATGAATAGCACAGGATAGTGCCAATTGCAGGCTCTACCCACAGAGCCAAGTATCTCCTGCCTGTCAGACCCTTAGTTCCAATATTTCTTTTCCAAAAAATGACTCCATCATTAAAACTACTTCTCTCAAAGGAAAGAGACCTTGAATAAGCAAAGCACTACTGAAGAAGAACAACAAAGTAGGAGGCCTCACACTCCTGGATCTCAAAACCTACTATACAGCTACAGTAGGCAAAACAGCCTGGTACTGGTACAACGACAGACACATAGACCAGTGGAACAGAATTGAGAACCCAGAAATAGATTCATCAACCTATGATCAGCTGATTTTTGACAGAGGGCTGAAATCTGTTAAATGGGGAAGAGAATATTTGTTTAATAAATGGTGCTGGGAAACTGGGTATCCATTTGCAGAAAAATGAAACAAGATCTGTACATCACACCATGCACAAAAACTAACTACAGGAGGATCAAAGCCTTAAATGTGAAACCTAAAATTATAAAGTTCCTCAAGGAAAAACTAGGGGCAAATTTAGAGACCCTGATTATGGCATAAACAAACTGTCAACCAAAATGCACCGATAGCTGAAGATAAACAAGATGAATGGGACCTTCTAAAAATTAAATTTTTATGTTGCTTCAAAAGACTTCTCCAAAAGAGTAAAAATAGAACCTACAGATTGAGAAAAAATATTAAGCATTGACATACCTGGCAAGGGACTTATCTCTAAAATTTATAGAAAACTCCAAACCTCAACAACAAAAATAATGATCCAATTAAAAAATAGGCAGGTGACATGAATAGACATTTCACCAAAGAGGATATCCAGGCAGGCAGCAAATACATGAAGAAATGCTCACGATCACTAGACATCAGAGAGATGCAAAACAAAACAACCATGAAATATCATCTCACCCCAGCGCTAATGGCAAAGATCAACAGGACAGAAAATAACAAATGCTGGCAAGGATGCGGAGAGATTGGGACTCTCATACACTGCTCGTGGGACTGTAAAATGATACAATCACTGTGAGAAACAATATGGTGATTCCTTAAGAAGCTGGAATTAAAAATACCATTTGACACAGCAATCCCATTACTAAGTATATTATCCTAAAGAAGTGAGAACCAGGACAGGAACACCTGTGTTCATTGCAGTACTGTTTACAATAGCAAAAAGATGGAAACACCCTAGGTGCCCATCAACTAAAGAATGGATATCCAAACTATGGTACATACACACAATGGAATACTATGCAACACTAAAGAACAGTATAGAATCTGCAAAACACTGCATGACATGGATGAACTTGCAGGACATTATGCTGAGTGAAATAAGTCAATCACAGGACAAATACTATATAGTTCATGATTGTAAAAAGTCAAAGAAAGGTTTATCAATGGAAAAAAATTTTATTTGTTGGTTTCCAGGGCTGGGAGGGGAGGGGAGGGAACACTGCCTAAAAAAAAAACTGCATTGACCCATGTCACTTTAGTTTTCTGTGTTTCACTGTATATAAATTATATTTCCCACCAGCCACTCCTCGGAAGGAAGATGGGGCATTCTACTTCTGTAGTGATACTGCCTCGGAAACCCAAGGAGGGGTCGCTATGAGTTGGGTCTGACTTGATGGCACATAACAACAACAACAACAAATTATATTTCAGTAGAATGTATTTAAAAAAAAAAGTGGTCAGTTAACTGTATACTTCAGGGTTTAAAACACTGTCTCTACAGTTAGAAATGTCAGTGAGTAAGTCTGCAGTGCTAACAGATGGCCTTCTGTTAGTGAAGGCTTTCTCTAACTTTCAGTAGTGCTGGTGATAAAGATGTAACTTAGGAAGATTGGTTAATATTGATAATGATAGCTACCTGGCAGTGCACTAAGCTCCACAGGCCTTTTTCTCCTTAATCCTCATGTCATTGCTATGAAGGCAAGCACATGTATCCCCATGTTACATATGAGCCAAGGGAAGCCCAGAAGGATAAAGTGATGGAGGTAAGATTCAAACCCAGAACTGTGTGATGGACGTCACACTTCCTCCTTGATTATACCATATCAATGTTTTAATTCAGGTATAATGTATATACCATGAAATATAAAGCTTAATGGAGTCTCACAAAGTGAACTTACCGGGTAACCACCACCCAGATCAGGAACTAAAGTATTCCATTAAAAGGAATAAAATACTGGTACATGGTATAACACATGTGCACTTTGAAACCATGCTAAGTGATAGAAGCCAGACACAAAAGGCCACATATTGTATGATTTCATTCATAAGAAACCTCCCAAATAGGCAAATCCATAGGGACAAGAAGTAAATTAGCAGTTGGGGGCGGGGGGGCTGGAGAAGAGGGAAATGGGGAGTGACTGGAATAAATATGAGGTTTCTGTTTGGGGTGATGGAACACTCTGAAATTAGATAGTGGTGATGGTTGTATAACCCTGTGTATATACTAAAAATTACTGAATTGTATACTTTAAAAGGGTAAATTTTATTTTATATGAATTATATCTCAATTTTAAAATTTTAAGTAAGAAAGAATATTGTTAGTTCTTCAGAAGTCCTCTCTTATCCATTCTGGTCAGCACCATCATTCTATTCCCCAAAGATATACCACTCTCCTTTCTGATTTCTAGCATCATGGATAAGTTTGCCAGATTTTGAATATTATGTGAATGAAATCATTTAGCAAGCATTCTTTGGTGTTTGGCTTCTTTCACTCTGTCTGTGAGATTCATCTATGTTATGTGTATCTATAGTCTATCCTTTTTCATTGCTATGTAGTAGTCCATCATATGACCATATGATTTATCTATTCCCATATAGATGGATTTTTATGTATGTTTCCAGTTGCAGATTGAGTTTATTATAAATAGCACTGCTATGAACATTCTTGTACTTATTTCCTGGTGCACACTTCTCTTGAGTATATGCCTAGGGGAGATCCCTGGTGATGCAGTGGATAAGTGCTCAGCTTTTAATCGAAAGGTTGACAGTTTGAACCCATCGAGCTGCTCCTTGGGAGAAAAATGGGGCAGTCACCATGAGTTGGAATTTAGTTGATGGCAGCAGTTTTTTTGTATGTCTAGGTTGGGCATTCCTACTTCCGTAGTGATACTGCCTCGGAAACCCAAGGAGGGGTCGCTATGAGTCGGGGCCGACTCGACGGCACATAACAACAACAACAACAACAACAGGAGTGGAATTACTCTTTGCTTCTGTTCAGCTCTGATACATACGGCCTGGCAACATTCGGAAATGGTGATGCCAGTTTACCACTCCTGCCTGGTGTGTGTGTGAGCGTTTTAGTTGCCCCACATCCTCACCAACCCTTGATATGGTCAGTCTTTTTCATTGAAGCTATTCTGATGGGTGCATTTAGGTTGAGCACTGCATCTTGTGTCTATTGGTGTTTTGATCTCCTTGTGACATGCATGTTGAAGGGCTCTGAATGATAAAGGAACATGGGAGGACTAGACCCTGCTGGACTAGGTCTCAACCACAGGTTTAGTTCACTGCCGTCGAGTCAGTTCCATCTCATTGCTATGAGTGTATGGGACAGAGTAGAACTGCCCCATAGGGTTTCGAAGGCTGTAAATCTTTACAGAAGCAGACCACCTCATCTTTCTTGCGGAGCGACTGGTGGGTTCAAACCGCCAACCTTTTGGTTCACAGCCAAACGCTTTAACCACTGTACCACCAGAGTGGCCTGTAAATCACAGGATATGTCAGAGGAACAGATTCCTTCCCCTCTCTCTCGTCTTCCTCCAGGAGACTCAGTGAATTATTTCTTGAAACGAAACTGCCAGGACAGACTGCAGGAGCCAGTTGTCAACAGAGAGTGAGGCTATATTTGATAGGCCAGGAGTCTAGTTGCTTTGAAAGATGAAAACAGAACATTGAGCTGCTTTTCCTTCTTGTTAATCCAGCTGTGTTTACCTTGGATATGGAATTGTGGCCTGACAAGCCTTTTAATAGGAGAGAGACCAAGGGAGCTGATGAGGTTCTGGGGGTGGGGGGAGTCCATGTACCCAAGTCTCTTTCTTAGTCTAGGCAGCCTTTTAGATAATGTTGATACAGGTTGGAACTGCTGAAAAAGAAGGCTTTTTAATTTTTTGCACTTATGAAGCGATAGCAGCCACATAGTTTGCAGGTTAATAAATAGAACGTTTTGAAATTCCGGGTGCAGTTTTGCCAGTGCTTTGACCTGCGCACATGAGACATGAGTGAGTGTGTGTCATGAAGAATATGCCTGTGTAAAAAGTAAAAAC